TACTATTGATATTATATCCTGTACTTTGTTTAGGCTTTTTCTTTTTTTTTTTTTTAATTTAAATTGACTCTCGTTTTTGTCAAAAGCTTTAAGAAATAAATAAATAAATAAATTAGTTACTTTTATTACACTAGTACCAGTTATTACAAAATGGTTTCCTACGGCTATAAAAAGTCCTAATTGATTTCACCAAAGTATTTCTTTATTTTGTTTAACCGTTTTTATTTAACATGTGAAGCGGATATGCATTTTTGTATCCATAATTATATACATTGAATTAATTAGTTCTGTAAACGTAATAATATATTTGAATTCATGCTACAATAAGAATATGTTGCTTATTTTTATGATGGCTGTGTTCATAAATATCCCAATGTAGCATACGTCTTGACAAATGTTCCGTCGCTGGTGCTAACATTTCTATAATGAAGGGATTTAAGGGTTAAGTCAATGAATTTCTTGCAATATATTTTTTACTTACTCATCTTCCCAGGGACACACTGCGTTGTGTTCGGTTTCATCAGTATTTGTTGGCGCAGGAGTGTCAGGCTTTTCAGTTAGTTTATCTCGTTCGTCTAATGAGCTTAGTTTCTTAGTTGCAGAACTGCGTTTTTTACGCCGTCGGTAAATTTCATCGTTGTTTAATTCAGGCGTTGGAGTTTTGGCAGCTCCACGCTCATCTAAGGGTTCATCATCCACTATATCGATTTCTAATACAGCGAGTGGTGCCAATAAATTAGCCGGTGTCGGCGCAGGTGCTGTGCAGCCAAGATATCTCTCGGTTTCTATAATATCGTAGTCGAAAACTACGTCCTTACTACTAAAATGCATTCCTTCTTGATACTCATCAGTAGTGGGTGACAGCTCAACCTCATTTTCCTGAATATGATAATCAATTTCTTCGACAGTTAATTTCTCCGAGCATACATTTATCTTTTCAGCGCTTCCTACTTCCTCTTTGCTACTGAGATGATTATTTTTGGAGTCACTTTCTTTCGCAAATTTATTGATTGGCGGACCGTTAAC